TATTTAAGATAATAAGAATTGTGAATCAGCATATGGGCTTTGCCATCAAATCGTATATTTCTCCTTTTTAACACGGCCACCGATCCGTTAGAGTTTACTTCTCATGTTTTCAAGGCTTTTTCTAATGGCTCTCGCACTTATGTCATATGCACTGATTGTAGCGAAGCGTTTGCTTTGGTTTACCATAACTTACTTATCTTTAAACTCCAACCCTCTGGCTTCTCTTTCTATTTATTGAAATGGTTAAGCTCTTACCTGCACAATCGATCATTCAGGGTTTTGTTTAATTTCATTACCACGGATGAATTCCCCGTGACGTCTGGCATACCTTAAGGCAGCCACTTAGGACCCATTTTATTTAATTTATACATTAATGATTTGCCGTCGGTGATTAAATCCAGCGAGATCTTAATGTATTCTGATGATGTGAAACTGTTTTCTCCCTTTCCCGTAGAATCGCAATCACATCAGCTTCAAAGCGACTTGAACAATTTGGTTGCATGGTGCTCTTTGAATCGTCTGAAACTATATCTAAATAAATGTAAGAAGCTTTCTTTCTCAACAAGGAAATCATTCATTACTCAGTATTCCATTGATTCGCACAGCTTGGAGGACGTCGATTCGTTCACAGATTTAGGCGTTCTATTTGACCATAGGTTACGTGTTAACTTGCATATTGAGCTCTAGTTAGGCAAAGCTAGGTCAGCGCTTAGTTTTACAAAGAAATGGTCCGAAAAGCTTGATGATCCTTACATTACGAAAAGGCTGTACATGTGTTTGGTTGCACCTATACACAAGCATGCCTCTGTTGTGGGATCTCCTTCGTATAAGTGCTATGTAGATTCAAATGAAACTGTTCAAACATAATTCTTGCCGTTTACGCTTAGGACCCGATTGCCTCTCTTCCTCCCTATGAAAATAGGTTGCTTCTGTTGGCCTTACCGTCACTGGAGAAACGTAGATTTGTTCTTAGGGTTACTTGGTGAGGTAAGCTTTAATATCCCTAATCGATTCTCTAGACGCTTTATCTTGATTAAGCTTAGTCAATGTGAATGCAATTATGAGCTGTTTAACCCGCTCAGAGTTGTTTGCGGGAACATAAACGATATCTGTCACTTATTCTCATTATCGGATTCTCTAAAGTCTATTAAAGCAACTCTGCTTAATATGAGCGATTTTCCTACGTCGTACTTAAACTAACATTTCATTCTTAATATCTCGTTTTTTTTTATTTAAAATAATATTGTGTTAACGTGTCGGTTGCCAAGCTTATGCATGTTTGCAGTGGTCTAGGGGTTCACTTACAACCTGGATCTGTTCTTGTTGCGGATGTGCTTCTGGGCTAGCATGATGTGTACATGCTTTTGTTCGGTCGCATTCGAAAATAACTTTCTTACTTGTCTGTTTTTTGGCTGTTTTCAATAAGCAGAACGTGGCATTCCATTAAAAGTTTTAAATATTTTGCTGAATTGCTTTCGTCTAAAATTACTTAACTGCGAAAGAATATTTGAGTGTTATTGCGCATACGTAAATGAAACTAAAAACACAGTCGACGTAAGGCAGCGAAAGCTACAGCTTATATAGATGAAACGTAAACGCGAGTTACGTAGCGATTCTCGCAAAGAGAGCCCCTACATAGATAGATGGATATTCTGTATATTATCTTAGAAAGAAGAGAGAAGTGTAGCCGAGTCATGACTGATGAAGAAAAATAAAACTAATAATCGTTCTATTGCATCAATACCTCCAATATCAGGTGTAAGTTATTGTACTTATTCTCCTAACTATTAAACTATGAAATCTGTCGGGATTTAAATAGTGTCACGAAGTAACCTTCGGATGCGAACATGTTGTTTTTATTCTTCTGCCCATTCGAACACAAAAATTAATAATCACTCACTATTTAAGTGGACTAAGAAATTACGTTAAATTTTTTCAAAATTTCGACTGTAATTTTTCTGTCCAAGCTTCTAATCTTTTCTCCATTTCAACAGATAAACTCCAATCTAGTCGCTCTAATAACGAGTAACCAAGGAAGACAAGGTGAATTGTAATTATTAGAATTTATGTTACTTTTCCGAACTTAAGCGAAACGATTGTTACGTTTGCATAAAGTAAATATTTATGGGTAGATTTCATTTGTAACTTAGAGATAAGAAAAAAACAAAGGAAAACCAGAATAACAATATTGGTAAATATAACCAGGTTGCCAGTCATTCTAAACTTTTTTCTATACTTTTCCGTATTCAAATACTGGCAGTATTCATCGCAATGCGGTTAAATTTTTATTCAGACGAATGAGAATCGTATATCGAAAAAGCTTTGACAAGTACGCAAAAAGTACAAAAATATAAATGGTTCGGCATACAACCTATTCCAATATTAGCTTATATTCTTTTTCATTTAACTGTGGATCCAACTTTATACTATCCATCTTCGTTGTCGCCTGTAAAGTCGGAGGTTCATTAACGGCCAAGTGGCCAACTGTGAAACTGTCACACGATGATGTGCTAACGAGCATGCCAGTGCGATCAGAGTCGGAAGAAAGTAAAATGTTTTCCAAATTTTCAAATTTCTCCGTACAATCAAGCTTAATCTCACTTTTATCTTTATATGGCCCTGTCCGTGGTTTGGCATCTTTGCAGATCCCTTTATAAGCTTGCTTATGATATTTGTGTATATTATAATGGCACTTAGGCTGCTCCTTGTCAAAATCTTGTTGATTAAGTATATTAGTGTTTACAATTTTGTTACGTAGTCTCGGGGAAATTTGGTCTACATTCTGAAGGTAAGCGCGCCGACAGTTTGCCATTATCCAATTATGTTCCGCCGTATTAGTGACGCAACGCCGCGGCGGGAAGGGTTTCAATCTCGCTGTAATTCTTTTCCGTCTCGGGTTATATACGCCTTCTTCCACATCGAAGAAACCCGGATGGAGTAAACGGGCTGGATTTCTAGCGGCGGTATACGAAAATGGTCCCACAGGAGTTGTGCCACGAATATGTTCAACTAAAAATCGTCTATCCTCCTCTTTACAATAACGCCACTTCCTGAAATCCACTTCCCAACCCTTAAAGATGCCCTCGACATGCAAGTCATCATCAAACCACATATCAACCACCTCGTTTAGGCGACCCTCTTGAAATATTGTTCGAAATGTGAAATTATAGGGTTCAGCTAAATGAAGTAAGCCTTTGCCATGAAAAAATCCTCCTAAGAAATACCCACGGTATTCACTACCATCCGGAAAAATGTAGATTCCGTAGCCTTCCATAGTTTGTACGGAGTTCGCCCATGTGCCTGTGTAACGACTTCCAGTCAAAAAACGTATGTTATTGGATGTTGAGACATCATCTGCAAGACGTTTTCTAATGTTCGGAAAAACGGAGCCAAATTGTCGCGGTGTTCCCGCAGTGTAAATAAACGGTTGCATTTTTATCCAATTATTGCAAATCAAAAAAAAAATAAAAATTCCCGCACGAAGTAAACGAATGCAACGAAAAAATTCAAACTTATTGAAATGGCTTTAAAATATTAATAACTGACAGACATTTGACATTCGTTTTAAAGCAAATCTTGCTCACAAACTATACCGTTTCATTTTTTTAACATAACGCAGCGAGTCATCTGTTGCTGACACCCTGATTCACAGATGAAGATGGCGCTTCATTACGTATGGTAGTTTTTATTCTCTACATCGGCTAGAAGGACTTAAAAGAAGCCCTTCTTTTAATTACATCGATCGATTCAGAGACCTTTTCTGAATCCGGTTAAGCCTATCTGCTTATCTGTTCGTCTGCCAAACTCAGAATAAATGCTCGCTCTGTTGTACATTACGGTTTAGAATCATTTCGTGCATAGATGCATGGTTACTTGTCCGCCCGCCTTTTTGCCTATTTGTCTCTTTATCTGTCCATTTATAATTTTGTTCATTCTCTAAATCTCTACTTTGAGATATTTAGGAAACTTTATCGACCACTGGACTCTTCATATAATGCCCTATTTCGACAAAGTCATTCTATGACGAACATATACAATTGTGAAAAAAGTGCGAGAAATATCCCTGGGTAATAGTGTTTCGGTATACTTAACCCTTTATTGGCAATCAAGTCTAATTTTTAAGCAAAGTAGTATAAGGTATTTAATGGTAAGACTTTGCATAAACATTTACTCTGACTTTCCCTTTATACCTCGTCTTACTTACCAAATAGAGCAATTTTGATTTTGTTAATAATTTCTGTAAGCGGTTTCAACTGGAGTAGAAGTGAATGAGTGCTTAGCTTGTTACGTGGCGTATTTTCCTATATATGTAACACAAGCAATAACTCGGTAGTCCGATGTATTACCTATCACTTAAAGAGAACCTGTCGAATTCACATTTTATAATATTTAGAGAGAGAGTGAAAGGAGTCATATCCAATTCCTTCGAAGTACTCACCCGTGATTCCGTTTAAAGGTGCATAATAGGCTAAGCCGTATTCCTGTGGTCATGCATACGTTAGAACTCTTAATAGAGTAAAAGCTGACATAGTAAGCTAAGACTTCTGATAAACATTCTGAGAGAAAATCTAAGCGACGTAAGAATATTGGAATACAATACCTAATCCTTAAAATAACCCAAAATTCTGAAAATTCCGCTGTCAGTATACTGTATTTTATAACGCGGTAAAGATAGGCGTAATTTTCCACATCATCTGAAAATTATGCCTGCAAACTAAGATGACATATAAAATAAATTTTGTGATATTTGTTCAACTTTACGGGATATCGCTCCGCCCGTGGAGGAGTACCTCATTCATTAGATTATTTGCAAGACTACAAGCATATATCTTTCAAGTCGGCGATTTTTAGGCGATTAAGACGAATTGAAAATACTCATCCTTCAGAAGCGATCGTTTCTTTTGAATGAAAAATAATTTTTGTGAATTCTTTCACCTGTAGAATTTTTTATTCTCACCAAAGAAGAAATTATTAGTTTACGTCAGCCGAGTAGTTACGCGTCACGAAGCACGAAAAAACGATTGGTCGGAAGGGAGGCGACCCCACACGTGTTTATCATATTCTCTTGTCGTTTCCAATTGCTCTTCCCTATCTACGTTCAATGATTTGCAACTAAAACTGGAACAAGATGATGTACTCACGCCCCAAGCAGTTCCAACACATACGGAGGACTCGCTTTTATCCAAATCTGTCATTAATCTGGCTTGAAGGTTATCTGGGTTTTTTTCGAAAGCTCGACGTATTCCTTTTAAAAACTTCTTTCGCTCTTTGATCGGATCATAATTGCAAGATGGCACCGCCTCTTCCAGCTCTTCCGCACTCTTTACATTAAGTTGCACAATTTGGCGACGAGTTTGTAGAGGTATATCTTTCACGGTTGGAGGGGTGCCAGAGCGGCAACCTTCTGTAATCTTATAATGGTCCCCTTCACACGCCACGTAATGCCACGAAGGAAAGGGATTCGGTCTCTTTATTATCATGCGGGTCACCGGATTATACAACCCTTCTCCCACGTCATACAATTTTTTTGGTATAAAAGGCGGTTGTCCGATCCTTTTAAAGGATTTTAATCCAACTGCTGCCAAACCTTCAACTCGCTCCACTAAGTAACGTCGATCACCCTGACAGCAGTAACGCCATTTGGCGAAATCGGCTTTCCAGCCTTGGAAACTAGCTTCCACATGTACATTGTCATCAAACCAAATATCTACCATTTCACTTAGGTGACCCTCAATAAATAGTCCTTTGAATGTGATACCGTATGGTTTCGTCAAATGTAAAAGCCCGTAACCATGGAAAACCCCTTTTGCAAAATAACCACGATATTCACTACCATCTGGAAAGGTATACACTCCGTAACCTTCCATAATATGCAAAGCAGGTAACCAACTCCCAGTGAAATTACTTCCAGTCAAGAAGTAGTGATAATTTGGCTTACGTTTTTTCTCGGGCGGTACTTTAGCCATTTGAGTAATACTTGGCGTTAACCGCTCTAAAAGACGAGGTTGCATTTTGGCCAAAGAAAAAAATCACACAACAAGCAAAAATAAAAAAATAAAAATTATAAAAATATTAGTACCGTATGAAAATAAACGTTATTTCAACACAACACGAAGTTATTGAATGTCGAAAAATTATTGTTGACAATTACAAAAGAAAATATATATATATATATATATATATTGAAAAGATATTGTAGTAAATTGTGGGCGATTGCTTTAGCATTCATCATTCATCATTATAAGGATATTTCACTAGATGACAGAGCAACAATTCATACTATTGATATATTGATCGTATACGCGTATACGTCTCACGCGCATCGCATATATTTAAAAACAAAATTTCATACAGTTAGGAACAAGTTTAAGACACGAATACAGTATCCCAACTTACGAACAAATAATGATCATGGATGTGATACGAAAAATTTTAAGGACAAATTTAAGTAAGCACACACAGACAGTCGTCCTATAAAGGTCTAATAGACAGAATCCAATTTCGAGATTTTTCGACAACATATTTCAGCTTAAACAATTACGCTTTTATGTTGCATGGCTTAAAGCTCTTCTTTAGTTAATCCTGATTAAACTTGGCTTGCGTATGAAATATGCACGATATGCGAAATGCGTGATATGATGTACGATAGATATTGGAGGACTGCAACGCATGAAAAGCATCTTTGCAAAATTTTATAACATTTCTCTACATTGTAATGGCTTGTAAAAATAGCTCATACATAAGCAACTGTTTACATTTTCTATGCTGGATGAAAACACATAATTCAAGTACTCTCCAATCGCAAGACCTATATAATTTCTGGATAATAGCAATCTTGAAATTATACGCATCAAAATTTCATGACATTCTAATAATTATTTTAAGAGCTGCCACTTTTCTTGTATTCGAAAGTCTGATTTTGGTTTAGTGATGAGAAAAAATACCTTCTATAGTCAGCAGTGGTTTGTATGATGTTAGGGTAACTGTCGATCGTTGAAAACATAAATTTGTGGGTTTAAACACGGTCATATAGACACCAAAGATTCTGAACGCTCTCTTCACCCAAAGTTCAGCAACTGGTCCTGAAAACGTAAAAAAGTGCACAAAATTATTTGCGAAGAGTGAGAAATAAGGTTGCGTGAAATAGCTGATCTCCTAAGAAAATCGAAAGGTAGCTCATCCAACATTTGACGTGAGTACGTATCCTTAAGAAAACCTTATCCGAAGCGGTTGCTGCGAAAAAAAGTGTTGAAGCGGTTTAGGTGAAATAAAAAGAAAAGAAGAAAGAGATTAAAAAGCAAAAGACAATGGGGGAGGTGATGGCGCATGGTATAATATTCATCGATTGTCTTGAAAAGGGACAAAGAGTCAATAGTGAATAGCTATGTAGCATTGCAAGTGTGTTTGAATTGCAAAAAAACGGTAAGTTAGATCACACACTTATTAAGTGACGTGACACTTACAGTTATCAGAGACAACTAAATATGTAGATCATCCATGAAATGTTTCAAAATAAGAGCAAGTAAATTGTCGGACTCTGGATGCTTCTGTCAGCTACAGCAGGTGCGTCGTTATTTAGCAACCCTTTAATTGCTCCCTTCTTCGTTCTCATTATTTATATAAGAGCAAACATTCTATTACTATACTCTTGATTCCATCAAGTACATACAGGGTACAGCATAAAGAAATCTACTTTGTTAAGTGAATGGGCGCTTTGGAATATATATATAAGTACATATGTACGAAAAAAAAAACCAAAAATTAGCAAATATGCCTTCTTTTCGTTTCAACACTCATTTCAAATTGAAGACTACGAAATGTGATGTGCGTTCGCCAGATGGTTCAACTAATTTCAGTAAGATTTCTTTTTTGTAATTATACCCAGGGATTATTGGAAATAAGGTGTTATATAACAAGAAAATAATCGAAAAAGTGGTCCGATCTAAACCGTTTTTAATAAAGTTCGTCCTTTGGTTAAAAAGTGTCACGAAGGTATCTCAAAAATTGCGACTGACTGATTAGTCACAAGAAAACAAGACAGTTGGTGTGAACAGATAAGCTAAGGTCGATTCAGAGGTGACTTTAAAGTTGAGCCCTCGGCTTAAAAACCTTATATCTCCAGCTTCCTGATAACACAATTTTAAATTTCTTATTTACAAAAATTGGTAAATTATCGCATTAAGTTGTTTATGCATAAATTTATTGCACGTGGCACTATCATATACTTGCGTATTTAAGCGCAAGCATAGACAGAGAGACAACTAAGTTTCATTTCCCTATACGAATGCATTATTATGATTTTTTTATATTGTGTTTGCAAGCACGCACTTTCTTATTATATGTATGGCTATGTGTATAAGCTAAACCATAATAAATTCAAATAAAATTTAATTGAGAGATAAAAGAGAACAAATTGTCCAATGTCCGCATAAACAAAAATATATATTGCAACTGTCTATAATATCCTGAGCGCCTAGTACAAATTCATATATATTGTCAAACAAAAGTTTGAACACCGACAATAACGCCAATACGTCCATATGCAATACGGCCAACTATCTAGAAAATAACATACACATATATACAATAAGTACTCACTTACGTACTAAGACGACACGAAATAATAAGAGTGCAACGAAGCCAAAGAAAAAGATTTTAACACTAAAACTACCCACAGGCTTTACATGTAAGTAATGCTATCAAAGTGAGTCAATTGAATTTCCATTCTATGTGGAGTCGGATGGGCAATCGAAATTTGACGCTTTCATTTCTCTATCATCATTTCTCTGCCCAAAAACTCGTGAAGACATTTCCGACAAAAGTTGTAAAGCGGTATTTGTTTGCAATTCGATGCAAAAATGGTAGAGACCGATTTACTAACACGCTCACGATGAACGATAACTTGTTATTTCCAATTTATTCCTAGGGCTTCCTAGTGAATACGCCAACCTGCAGAAAGGAAATATATAGTGCAAGTGCAAACCGGCGCATTGCATCTCTGCAAAGCGAAAAAACATCCTTGGCGTCACAAAAGCTGCCAAATGCAAATATGCAAAAGGAATAAGAAGACGAGCGAAATATGTCTAAGGTGCGCACTTATCTATTGTAGTATAATATATATATGTGTAAACCATATGCTTTATGATGATATTCGAAAGCAGACAATTTAAGGGTTAACTTTAAAGGTTAACTTTTCAAAAAATCTACTTGTGTTTATTGGCTTCAACGAGCGCTTAAATAGTCAAGAATGACGTAAAAAAACAATTTCAGGCATGGCAAAGTCCTAAATGATCAACACATCAACGGTAGGTGGTAATATAACCGCACGTGGCTTATGAGGTACATGGGTTTATTAAGCTTGCGCGGATGGAAGCAACACCCAGAAGTACTTGAAATAGATTCATTTTTTGCTATACCGCTCGTTTCGGAATCATTTGGTTGTTTGTCTGTCTGTGTGTCGGCGGTGCAGAATTTTGTATGATGGACTGACTATACCATACATTATGGCATTTTTATTTGTAAATCTTAGAATTTATTTGTTTGGTCTAAGCAGAATATAATAATAATGGGAAAAATATACATAACATAATTAAAAATTTGCGAGGTATCATAAGTTTTGTAAGCATTTCTTGGAGCCAAACGGACACAAACGGTAGATCTAGTGTTAAGGAATAGCATAGAGAATGATAAGGGGAATATAATATGAGCATAAACAAAATACTAAACATATGGTGCTGATGGTGCACTAATATCTCCACCGTTTATATGTATAGATAGATATGAATGCGTATGTCATGTAGTCACCCCAACTTTTTGTAAAATACAGAAAACATAAAATGCATCATAAAAGTGATCCTCTTGTTGTTTGCTTGAATTCTCAATTCACTCACAATTGCTCGCGAGACAAAATACTTGCGTCCATATGTGTACGTCAGTAAGTCTTACACCCCTTACGGTAAAGAAAATATTTTGTCGTAGCATGCTATTGTGTTTTTTTTTTTTTTTTTTTTTAGTAACACAAACTATTTATTTCTTCGCTTTTTCTTTTATGTGTAGAGAAAGAGAGGCAAAAGTGGAAAACATATGGAAACCCAGTGCATATGAAAACAAATGCACGCTTTGCGGCACATCATCTTCCCTGTGATTATCCACATAAAAATCGCGTGTAAGTGTATAAAAAAGAAATAAAAATAAAAATAAATATGTACACACACACATACTAACCAAGTAACTCGCGGGTGCGCCCTGTAAATGAATGAAAAAAAAAAAAAAAATTGTGGAGTGAGTTCACAGTGCTTACTTCAAGAGGCCAATTGTTAGTCTATGAGTAAACGTTGGCCGTTTCGTTTGTGCTGCTTAGTTGGATTCGGATTTCTTCCACCACTTAATCCGGCAATTCGTTGCTCTTGCTAATGGTTTTAGTGAATAATTCGTTTGTTTTTGTAAAAAAATTGTAACAAAAAAAAAATAATTTTTTTTTTCCGGTTTTATTTTTATAATTTCTGGAAATAAACATCGAAAATTTAATGGAACATCTTACCGAGTGAAGAAGTGTCTAAGTCGTTAATTTAGTTTATAAAATGCGTGGACAGATAGACAGACATACTTGTCTACTTATATGTGCGTTATATCCGTTTACCCTAATATTTGCTTACGCTTATGCGTGCACTAATGTTATGTTATTTAGTGATAGTGCAACGGTGCGCGGAAGAGTGTTGCGTTCGATCTGAAGATTATTGTGCAAAAAAATATTACATATTTGCAATATAGTTGCAATCGAAATTAGCAGAAGATAGGCCAAAAGACAAAAATGAAAAAACATAAATGCATGTAATTGTACATAAAAGTCATCGATTTTTTGAATATCTAACGACGTGAAAATATGTAAAAATTTTACGTTTACATCAAGTAAGGTAACGACTATGGGATGAATTCTTGATACCCTCAACATTACACGCGCAACCTATTATACAAAAGAAAAAACTAAATATTTCGTTAAAACTGCATATGA